CGTTTTCCTTCACCGTTCGAATGTTAGCGCATTTCATTGGTGCACAGCCAGTGTTCTACGACCCCAGGGATGAAAGTCGCACTACACATATGCATATTCATGGTTAGGCTATGGTGTTATCTTATGGGGTAGCAGTATAGATGCCACTGCCGTATTTACAAGTCAATTTTTTTTTTGAGAATTATAGTTAATATAGGTAATACTGACTCATCCAAGCCCCACTTCATTCGGAACAATATCCTTACTGTACCTAACATACTGGCAGCATGTAAATTTATTCGTAAATATCTTAATATGTATAAAAAAAGGGAAGATACAAATACCCTTTACTCACTAAGATCTTCTCGTACAAACCAAATGATTCCACCTACATCCAGACTAAAATTACATCAATCAGGACCTCCTCAATAAAAATATATAACAAATTACCAGAAAATTTGATGAATGAAACAAATAACTTGAGGTTTACCAAATTTCTAAAGGAATTATTATATAAGAAATGTTATTACACAGTTACAGGGTATCTGACTGATAACTTTAATTTCTTTATAAAAGTTAAGTTTATTAATAAATACCTTTTCGCAACGTGAAACCAAAGCAAATATACCAAATAATAATGTATTTTATAAGAATATAATTAACTATAATAAAGCATTGCTGTGCCTAACCAAGGTACTTATTGTAATAAATTATAACAATTTTTTGTGACACTCGTAAAATATGAACATAAGGAATGCAATAAAGATTTGAGTTTGAAGGCACTAGGCCAACACTGCTTTTGCTTTGTTAATACATTTGGTTTTATATAAGCTGTTAGCTTTATAAATAAAAAAAATAATTCTAGTCTATGATATTGTGGGAATCGACTAAAAAATTGTATAAACATTGATATTGTTTTTGTAATGTCGTGTTTATTTGTTATTCTTAGCCCTACATATTGATAATAATTTAATTATCTTCATTTACAGAAATTCGACCAAGCCCTCCAGGACGAAGCATTAAAAGACCTAAAAGCCGTCGTGTGTCGGGTCGCCACTAACAAGCCCGCGTCTTGTTGAGATTTGTCAATTGTCAAAGATAAAATGACGTAATAAAATAACATGTATAGTTTGTAACTAATTTTTAAGTATTTTCTAATTATTGTACAATACGAGATTTTTCTAATAAAGTACTTACAATAGTTTATTTCTCTTTTATTTGTCATCTTTGATTGAACGAACTGTTTTTAAGTCAGACTTGATCCTTCAAGAAAAGAGCGTACCAATTCTTAAAAGGCCGACAACGCACTCGCGAGCCCTCTGGCATTGAGAGTGTCCATGGGCGGCGGTATCACTTAACATCAGGTGAGCCTCCTGCCCGTTTGCCCCATTCTATAAAAAAAAAATTAAAAAACCAGCTGCCCACTGAAGTATTTCGGAACCAATTCCGTTCTGATTCTTGAAAGGCCGGCAACGCACTTGCGAGCACACTGGCATTGAGTGTCCATGGGTGGTAGGTATTTCCAAATCAATTCGACATAGGGTCCTTCAAAGAGCGTACCGATTATTAAAAGGCCGGCAACGCACTTGCGAGCACACTGGCATTGAGTGTCCATGGGTGGTAGGTATTTCCAAATCAATTCGACATAGGGTCCTTCAAAGAGCGTACCGATTATTAAAAGGCCGGCAACGCACTTGCGAGCACACTGGCATTGAGTGTCCATGGGTGGTAGGTATTTCCAAATCAATTCGACATAGGGTCCTTCAAAGAGCGTACCGATTATTAAAAGGCCGGCAACGCACTTGCGAGCACACTGGCATTGAGTGTCCATGGGTGGTAGGTATTTCCAAATCAATTCGACATAGGGTCCTTCAAAGAGCGTACCGATTATTAAAAGGCCGGCAACGCACTTGCGAGCACACTGGCATTGAGTGTCCATGGGTGGTAGGTATTTCCAAATCAATTCGACATAGGGTCCTTCAAAGAGCGTACCGATTATTAAAAGGCCGGCAACGCACTTGCGAGCACACTGGCATTGAGTGTCCATGGGTGGTAGGTATTTCCAAATCAATTCGACATAGGGTCCTTCAAAGAGCGTACCGATTATTAAAAGGCCGGCAACGCACTTGCGAGCACACTGGCATTGAGTGTCCATGGGTGGTAGGTATTTCCAAATCAATTCGACATAGGGTCCTTCAAAGAGCGTACCGATTATTAAAAGGCCGGCAACGCACTTGCGAGCACACTGGCATTGAGTGTCCATGGGTGGTAGGTATTTCCAAATCAATTCGACATAGGGTCCTTCAAAGAGCGTACCGATTATTAAAAGGCCGGCAACGCACTTGCGAGCCCACTGGCATTGAGTGTCCGGTAGGTATTTCCAAATCAATTCGTCTTAGGGTCCTCCAAAGAGCGTACCAATTCTTAAAAGGCCGGCAACGCACTTGCGAGCCCATTGAGTGTCCATGGGTGGTAGGTATTTCCAAATCCATTCGACATAGGGTCCTTCAAAGAGCTTACCAATCCTTGGAAGACCGGCAGCGCGCTTGCGAGCTTTCTGGCGGTGTGAGTGTCTATGGGCGGCGGATATCATCAGGTTGACCCTCTTGCCCGTTTGCCTTCTATTTCATAAAAAGCAAAGAACATATTATATAACATAAAATTATAAAAAAAACAATTTAGTCTATGATTTAACTTTGTCATTAATTTTGCATCTGTATATGTGTATTCAATTCTAAATGGATTCTAGAAACAATAAAACACAGGTTTATACTTAAGACATATCACAAATTATTTACAATATTAAATATAACTTAAATAATACATATTTTTAATAAATTATGCAATGTATTGCTACCTATAAATATCAACAGTTAGATAAAAGCAAATTAAAAAATTGAGCCATTTTTATTCTAACAAAGACAACGTCTACTAACTCCTGTCAGCTATTTGACAGATTCGAAAACTAAATTGCACAGAACACCAGAGGCTTTGCTATGAAAAAAGGTTTTACATCACTTTTTCTTGAATTGTGTTTACTCTAATGAACAGAGACAATTCTGTACATTAGTTATATCGATGAAATGACTATTTTGTAGGAATAAAGAAATCCTCTTTATCAAAGTCCACGTTGGATAGTGTATATCATATGATTGGGAAGCGCACAAAGACACGCTATTTATTTTTTGACGTGACAACGTATTATAAATCGACGAACGCCGGCTGCATGCACGAAAAAACATGCCTCGTTGTGACGTTCCGCTTGAGCCGGACGTGCAAGCGAGAGCGCGAAACAAGCGATAGAGAGGGAACATCAGAGAAAAACAGAGACTGTATATGTTAAGTAAGAAATAAAAACGTGTGTACACGCGTTAGAAGTTATAGTTCTTTGGCGTAACAAGATAAAAATCTTTAAAAAAAATTTATTCTCGTTTGTAGAAAAAACGACACTAACAATAGATAAAAAATAAAATGTTGACTATAGCTAACTTCAGGGTGTCGGTTTTTCGTGACGGTGTGCGCATCGTAAAAATTTACTCTCGTGATTTTTCCCTAACGTTCCAAAAGAAGTATAACTTCAAAAATATTTAATTAAACGAGTGCAAATATACGTTAATTTATCGAAATTGTAATTTTTCAATTAACTCCTTTGTATTACACAAAATTAATTTAGTGATAAAAATCAATTCAATTCATAAACATGTAATTTTTCATCAATGTTTTCTTATGACGTAATCGCGTAAAATTATCGTCCGTATACCTTTACAGACAATTTTTGAAGTTATACTTCTTTAGGCGCGTTATGAAAAATTGATGAGAGTGAAATTTTACGATGCGCGCGCACCGTTACACAAAATTAACAGAATGAAGTTAGTTCTAGGTGGCATGAAAATCGATAATAACTATGTTCAAGTTGTATATTCTAGTATTTTTATATTTAGAACACGTGTTTCGTAAAAGTACAATTAAACAGTATGAATAAATAAATATTATTTTGGTGTTTTTATTAAATCAATTTCATATACGACGGTGATAGTACTTACTAATAATTTATTGATTAATTTTAATATTTATCGTTAATCACTACTGCATTTTAGTTATTTTTTTTCCATACGCCAAAGAAGTATAACTTCTAACGCGTGTACATGAGTACACACACTCTTTTTTTAGAATAAATATAAATTAATTCAAAAATATTATGCAGTTTTTAGCAATAAACTTGACAATATGGCATGTTGGTTGAAACACAGAATTTTATAATTCTCATGTACAGTGCCACCTTCCCGGCAACGCACTCGCCAGCCCTCTGGCATAGAGAGTGTCCATGGGCGGCGGTATCACTTAACATCAGGTGAGCCTCCTGCCCGTTTGCCTCCCGTTCTATAAAAAAAAAACCTTTTTTTGGCCGGCGGCTGAAATTGGTACTAAGATCTCTGGTAGGTAAAAACTGTAAATATCTGTGTATATAATATGTAAGTAATCTGACTTAGACACTCCATTTGATTTATAATGATTATAGAATCTATACAAATTGTTAAAAAAGTTAAAATAATTTCAAGAACCCGCCAAAACGCTTCTGCAAGATGGCGTCGCAACTGTGACGTACATTGCATGTAAACAAACTTAAAGTTTTCTATCACTCGGCGATTTGTATTAAATTTTAACGGTAATTTCAGTGGAAATTTGACTTGCAAATGGTGTACGGAACAAATGAAGAATGTCAAAATCCTTTCATTTTGAAAAATATTGATAAAAACAGTTTCCGAAGTAACTAAACTCCAAGACATATTAGTATTAGACAGGCGTAGACATTATTTAAAACCATGTTACGTCACCGTCGATTTTACTATAATCTGTGACCGTTGTGTCACGTGACTACAAAAATCAATATCTATGGATTACTTTAATCCATCAAGCCATTTACACAGATCTCGATACACCTTTATTTAATTCTACCAAATAGCCTTTTAAGAGATATGTCACACATACAACACTTTTGACAGTTGACGTTTTACACACATTTAAGTCCAAGCCGATGGGACAAAGTCTCTATCAATAGCTTCATCATGAAACCGCTTCAAATGCTTGCTATAACAGCTCTTGCTGCCCGTTGTATACGAGCAATAACCACAAGAGAACTCACTCTTACAACTCTTCATGTGCTTCGCCACATTCTCTTTTAAATTGCTGAAGAACCCGCACTTGTCACACTCGAAGTCGTTCTTCGCCCCATGGGTGCCCATGTGGTACACCAGGCTCATGTTATGCTTCGCCCGGTAGGAGCACAGAGGGCACTTGTACTTCTTCTCTCTGTTTCTTCTCTTTGTGTTCTTGCTCTCTCTCGTGTGCTTCTCTTTGTGCCTGTGCATCAGGAGCCAGCTGGACGTGTGATAGTTGCACACTTCGCACATGTGTATCATGTGTGTGTGTTTGCTCATGTGGAGGGAGTAATCCGCCGCGTCCAGGGCTGAGTATCTGCAGACTTCACACTTGTATTTGTTCACCAAAATCTTGTTAATTGCTGCAGTTTTCTGGCATTTCTTTGACTTTTTATGCTTCTTCACCAGTTTTAGCAGTGGAATGTCATCTTCATCTGTGGCGTCTGAGACAGATATCGTGTCTATGTGCGGTTCTTGTATTATTACTTCGTCTTCATCGCTGGAGGAGAGGAGACTGATGGGATCATCTTTTCTGGAAGATCATAGACATAACATTTATTACTAACATAAACACACAAAATAACAATAATCATAGAAAAAAATATGAGATACATATATCAAATAAATCAATTTTCCCATTCGGTTCGTTTCAAGTGTGTAATGCGTGTGTGCTGTGGTTGTAATTGGCCCTGGCTCAGCATTATGTTGTGGAGCAGACTGTTCCACAGCGCTGGTCATTCTGCCAGAGACCACAGCAGCTAGTGCGCCTCAAAAAAAGGAGTGTAATAATACGTAGTAGAAAAAAGAAGAATTAGTAAAAGTTAGCAGTGAGAAGACAATCAGAATCAAGATCAGACAATCTTTTAATGCGTCAACACACGGCCCTTAAATCAGTGGCTATATCTGGACAATGGTGGGGATGTTGTGGGAGGGGTGGGAGGGGTGTGGTGGAAAATTAATACAAATTATATTTTTTTTTAAAACACGTTGCTTTAAATTACAATTCGTCATTACGAAATTTTAATTCTTCCTTCTCACTCTCTCTCAATTTCTCTCTCTCTTTTCTTCGACAAAAACGCTGCACATCTTCGTGACGTTCCGTAAAAAATTTACCCTCATGCGCCTAAAGAGCCACTTCAAAAACTATTTTTATATCTCGTATATATTGTTATCAAATAATTTCAAGATTATCGCAGACTCTTTTGAATTCAAGTTTCACTTATCAAAACTAAAAACTCACTTTTCTCCCAAATCGATACAATCCGAGCTGGAATCTAGGTCCAGGTCGACTTGTTCTATGTTCTGGTCACGGTCAAAGTCAGCGTCGTGGTCCAGGGGGAACATGCTGGGATCGATCTCCACTTGGACATTCTCCAGCAGCATGAGGCAGTCTTCATTGGTTTGGTCTGTAGAAGAATTACTAATTTTAATTTATCAATAGAAGCTGTTTGTCCAAATCTAACAAGAGATGGCAGCACACGTTTTACATCTTGTACTAAAACGCGGCAACGACTTCACCGCCGAGTTTATTTATTTAATATTAAAATATCATTGCCCATTGAGGCCGAGCTATGCTCGCCAAAACAGCTCGAGCTGAGCTGTAAAGGCCCTTAAAGCCACTATCGAGATTCCTTTACAAAAAAAAATGGTGCGTGTACTTATGTACGCGCGTAAGAAGTTATACTTCTTTGGCTTTCTTTATTTTTTTAAATATTAAATAATTAATAATAAATATTTAGCGTTAATAATTTAACAATATTTAATATATTATTCAATTATTAATTAGTATTAATAATAACTATTATTTATTATATTATTCATTCAATTTAATAACTAGGTATGTTTCATAACCTTTTAACTAATTAACAATAGGACTTTGTGAAAATGCATTGCTAAATTACTTTGAAAAAATTATTAAAACTCCTTTATTTGTTTAAAAGGTAAATAAATGTCATTATGGTCATTCAAAATTCTCGGCATAGCTGCTAACTTCACGCATATTCTATTTCTTTTTACTTGTAGATTGTCTTATTCCCATCTCGCTCGCGCACGCTCGGCGCCCATACTGATAATTTTGTGTCACGGTGCGCGCGCATCGTAAAATTTCACTCTCATAAATTTTTCATAACGAGCCTAAAGAAGTATAACTTCAAAAAAATATCATTCCACCAATCCAAGCAGGTAAACTATCTAATAATCTGAAAGGAAGTAGTTAAAAACTTTAAAATATGTATATCTATTGTCCGACTTAGTAGACTTTCCAATAACACGAGATTAATTTCAAAATAAACACCCCAAATATTTTATTTTTCATGGTTTTTTTAAATTAAAAATAAACAATAGAAATTATAAACACAAATTAACGTTTAAAAATAATCAAAATCGAAATTAACTTATTCTCGTTTTGATAGATTTTAGGTGAAATTTTATAAATGCTGAGTTATGCCTTTTCAGTAGCAAATTGCAGTATTTTTGATGTCTTTTTAATTGTACGTAATCTTGTGCTGCTGAATAAATTTATTTTACTTTGAAATTATAGTTCCATTCAAACTTGAGTTTTTGTAAAATTAACTGGTTTATCATCCTTTTGATGTTTTACAAAAAAACATCAATGCGTCGAGTATATCAAAGAATCGGATTCAATGTATCGCATTGTAAACATCGATGTATATCGAATATCCCTAATAATTCGAGGTCCGGGTTATAAAAGACCAGACATAATGTCGGGAGGTGGCAGATGAAAAATCGACTATGATTGATTTTCAATTATAAAAATAATCGATTATTTTAAATATAAAAATCGCGTAAAAAAATAGATTTTTTAATAATCGATTATTTTTTCACATCCCTACTTAGAGTTTTAACCCATACCTTGACTCTTCCCACCGACAGAAACCTCCACATACTTCGGCTCACTCTCCTTTTCTCTCCTATCCTCCTCTATTTCTCCTCTTGTCTCCCTCTCTGATATCTCGGTTAACGGCCGCGTTTGTTTAATATGATAATTAGTTAAGATATCTTCAATGTCTTTGTTCGGTGAGAATTCTAAATCTATACTGAAAATTACAATTAAAACATTTTAATTTGCTACAGTTCCAACAATTTGTATGACTCCAAACTTGGCGATAAAGAGTGACGGAGAGTTTCTACCAGTTCTTCTTGTCCGCTCTACGCTCTTGACTTGCGAACTGGCACTACATGTAAATTTAGAATTCTGTTGACGTTCATAAGTGCGTGCTCCTATTTCACCATGCCTCCTGCTGATAGAGGACAAGTCTTTGTTTTTAATTTATTTTATTATTATTTATTACTTAAGATGTCATGTGAAACATGGTGTAATGGTTGCAGCTCCTTACAAACATTGCGTAAAACAAAAATCTTGGCGATCAAAATGAGTAGCGGAGAGTTTATTGCCAGTTCTTCCCTTCTAGAACTGGCAGTAAAATTAGAAGCATTTAATGAATAAATGTTTTTTGACTTTTGAGTGTACTTGGTTACATATATGAATAAAGTTATTTTGAGTTTCAGTTTGATAGAGGAAAGATCTGTCTCTGGCAGAATGACCAGAGCTGTGGAACAGTCTGCTCCTCGCCATAATGCTGAGCCAGGGCCACAACAAACACGTTACACACTTAAAGGTGGGAACTGACCAAAGTTACGAGGTGTAATGTAGCATTCGCAACGAGTGTGTTACGCATAGAGCATGTTACGCTGTGTTTTAAAATCGGCGTAACATGCTCGTCAAAACTCTGTGCTCCGCTTTCGCCGCTAGTGTTAACAAGATGGCCGACAGCGAGGACGCGTTGGTATCTTTGATTCTACTTAATTATTGTTTCATCCAAATTAAGAAGAAGAAAAAACGTTACTGGACATCAAACTTACTTAAAAACAGAGGCGTATGTGGTGGTTTGTCATTGATAGCAATTTAAAAAAATCAAATGATTACTGGACAGTATAAAAACTATGTACGCATGTCTCGATTCTGAAGAACTGTTGAATATAATTGGACCAAAAGTACTTAAAAAAGACACAATTTATAGAAAATCATAATCATGATCACTCTCGACGTGCGCCGCGTACTGACTGAACCGCGTACAGTCAAAGGATTCGCCGAAAAACCGACAGCCGGGTGGAGCACTCAAAGCGAGCAACGAGCGGCTGGTTTCCCCGTAACACGACGTACTGACTGCACGAATGCTCGCTGTGTAACGTGTTACATTACACCTCGTAACCTTGGTCAGTTCCCACCTTAATATGTACCTTATTCCTTATCTTAATATATATATTTCTTCTGTGCGTGTGTATGTGACTGAACTTCTCTCAAACGACTGGACCGATTTTGATGAAATTTTTTGTGTGTGTTCAAGGGGATCTGGGAATGGTTTAGATTCACAAATCAGCCCGGCAGATGGCACTGCAGTCGGTACTTTCATACTTTGCTTAATATCCTAATCGCTTTAAATATCATGCAGGACAACGTCTGTGGGGTCCACTAGTATTCATTATTTTTTGTTATTTTTCTTTCTTGATTATTATTTTGTGTGTTTCGTTATTAATAATTGTTATGTTTATTTTTAACTAACAAGACAAACTATAGAAATGATTGAAAACATTTATTGACTTGTTTAAGCTATCGAGGAGTATCCATAGCGCTAAATCCTGCATCGTGAGCTCACCATACACTCAAAACACATCTATAGATATTACTAAGTTAAGTATAATATATATTTATCCTTTCGTATTTTGGAACCTTTTTGTATATGTTCCATCTTTGACTATATCTTTACTTATATATAATTTATGTTCGCTGTAGAAAACTAAATAACTAAATATACCTACTTCTTAACGCTTCTAGGTGACTTTGTACAACTTCCCTCTGGACTACATTTCTCTTCACTCTTGTCTATTCTTTCTTTGTCCCGGGTTTGCTTATCTGTATTGTCTTCTTTGTTATTGCTATCATTATCATCTGTGTCTTCATTTGCGTTTTTCCTATCTTTATCAATGTTGTCCTTCTCTGTATTTGTGTTTTCTTTATCTACGTTTATGCTATCTTTATCTGTGCTTTCTTTATATTTGTCTATGTCCATTTCTTGTGATTTAAGTTCATTTGTGGTTTCGCTATCTGTGTTCTGTTTTTCATCTTGGTCTTGTGATTCTTTCTGAAAAGTATTTATTTATTAAAGTTTACCACATCATACATAGTACTAAATCTACAGAATATTTTACAAAATCTTTCATCTAAAAATATATAATAGATATAAAACTTGCAGACCGGCCAAGCGTTGCTGTGGCTAAGGTTTTTGTTATATTACATAGTAATAAACTATTCAAGGGAAATGGTAGGAGAACATCAGTCATGGGGACCACCATGCTTTTTTGGTGGTTATGCCATTAAATTGTAATTTATATGAAACGTTGGTACTTTCAACACAGCGCCATCTGTTAGCTGTAACTATCAAATAATAAACAAATATTTTGAAATAAAATAATATTGTGGGTATAAATGATGTAAGCTATCCTATCTTTCAAGTTAGATTAAACTGCACACGGTGTGCAAATTTGATTGATATCGGTTCGGTAGTTTAGGAGTCCATAGCGGACAAACAACGTGACACGTAATTTATATATATTAAGATTACCAGAAATTTTTGGTAAAGCAGAAAAAAAATACCAGCAAAACAGCGAATTAGGTTCGAGATAGGCACCAAACAATGCTTTTTTTTTTTTTAATGTATGTAAAGGATTAATAAACTGGGTGCTTTAGGCAGAGCTAAGCACTATTTCACTGAGATACAACGTATGCACCTATACAAGGCTCATGGAACACTGTTCACATCTCTGGGCTGGTGCTCCCAAATACCAGCTTCTCCTTTTAACCAAATTCAGCGAAGGGCTTATGGGGGTCTTCCCTGAGATACGACCTCCAACTATTCAAAATACGAGTGTACTCCTCCCTCAAAGGCCGGCAACGCAACGGCAAGTGTCGTTTGCTCCCCGATTGGCGAAGAGACTTAGTTCTGCAGTTTAGTTACTTTCATAGCTTAATGACTTATGGCTTATTATTATGGGGTCATGCTGCTGATGTCGAAACTATTTTCATCCTGCAGAAGAGGGCTATTCGTGCAATCTATAATTTAAAATGTAGGGAATCTCTTAGAGATAAATTCAAGGAAATTAATATACTTTCCTCCGCAATATATTTATGAAAATATTATATATGTATACAAAAATAGTGATAAGTTTACTAGAATAGAACATACGCACAATGTTAATACACGGAACAAACGCAGGCTGCAATTTCCCCGTACTAGACTATCTAAAGTTAGTAATTCTTTTTTGGGGAAAGGGATACTCTTCTTTAATAAAATCCCAGAGGCTCTTTTATCTCTGCCTTTCAATAAATTTAAGAAATGTATTAAAGAAAAGCTGTGTAAAAAGGCTTACTATAAAGTCAACGATTATCTAGTTGATAAAAGGGCCTGGGACAAGTGCTAGACAGGCTACTTCTAATTAATTTGCAATATTTGTTTTAAATAAGTGTTGTTTGATGATTTGCTGTTTTATAAGAGTACCGAGAGTTTTTTACGCCGGCTTTTTCTCTCGGCCTACACCCTCTGTCTTCTTTAGTCTTTAGTAGGGATGCCTACAAATTCAAATTTAATGACGTGGAATAAGTGATACATGTATCTTATGTTCCATAATAAACATTTTTTATTTTTTTTATTTTATATTTAATAAAACTCACCTCAAATAAACACGGCACCACTTTAGGCTTAAGCCTTCGCTTCCCTCTCACAAACATATATTGTTCCTCCTGAAAATGGCGACTGCACACCATTGCGTCATCTGTTAGCTTTGCTGAACTATTTATTGCTTCTACCCACTTTTTACGAAGAGTTCGACTTACTGGTAACCTGAAAAAGAGGGATTACGATGGTGAATCTCTCGTCAAAAGGGAGTACAGGAGTCAGCTAATTTAGGCAATTTTTTTAAAATATCTTTTTTATGGCTCTGGCACGGTTTGTGCATTAGCCAGCGTCAAGTATAAGATTTTTATAATTCGTGCTTGTCTTTTAGAAATTCGACAGTGTCCTCTATGTACGGTTTAAGCACTCGCCCGGTACCGCACAACCCTCCCAAAGGCCGAGAACAAATTTAATTTAAATTAAAACTTGCCCTCGAACCGGGAATCGAACCCGGTACCCCTTACCTAGCTGTATAATTCAGTGATTTTCTCTTGTTTTCTGTACTGACATGAATGTCGAAAGAGACCAGCCTCTGTATAAAATCCAACTACAAATGTTTAATGAATAAAATTCATTATTTATACGAATTATACAAATATAGAATGGGTTTTCGTTTTATTTTTACCAAACAACCTTTTAGGCCTGGGCCTCAGATTTCTGTATCTGTTCCGTGTTTATAAAAGGCAAGTAGGTCAACCTTCGGTGACTGACACACACCGTTTTGGGACAAAATCATGCCCGGTTTCCTCATGATGCTTTCCTTCACCGTACGAGGGTTATAAGTCCATTGGTGCACAGCCGGAGATCGAACCTACGACCCCAGGAATGAGAGTCAGAGAAACCACTCGGCCAACACTGCTATGATTTCGGATTTAGTGCGGAATAAATTTCAATCATGCTTTTATTAATAATTGCATATTTAATAATTGATCCTACTACATCCTTCTACCTAGGTCTTAGATTTCTCTATCTATCTATCTCTATCTATCCATCGCTATCTATTTTGGTATTCTTTTCTAAAAGTAGACAGCCCAATGATACGATAGATTTTGGTGTCTAAGGCATCTCCTCGCTGTTTTTCTTAACATTAAATGCACTAGATAAATCAATTGGAGCAGTGATTCAACAGGATCTCAGAGCACTAAGCAATCTAGCCAACGATGCCAACTCTTTCAGAATGATCCCCCTAAGATCTTCAAATACCCCTAAATATTGATTAAAAAAGTTTTTATTGTACTCGGTTTGGGAGTTAATTTCAAATATGAATTAAAATTATTCTTGATATTTCATTTATAGCTACACTTGGAGTTTGTCTTTGGTTTAGTTTGTTAGACTAATATAAATCAATTATAAAATCATCCGGTTCAAAATCATGAATAAGGTACCCCCTAAAAAAACTCTGATGTTCCCTAAATTTGGGGGGAAAACCCCCAAGTTGGCATCACTGAGTTGCTTTACAAGCATCAGCAAAAGGACTTGGTAATTAAAGAGTGCCAAAGACTTCCTTGCTCTGTTCTCATCCATACTCCATACGACCTTTATTCCTAAAAAATATAATTCTTAAAATACAATACATACTTGAAATAGTACAGTTGTTCTTTAACATTAAAACAGCCATCAACACAGCATTCTTCTGTCATTTTCACTTAAGCGATTTACATTACCTAGAAACATATAATTTTTATTAACGGAAGGCATTAATACTAGCAAAAATATATTTATTGCATGCCTTAATTAAAGTACTTTTAGATCTCATTCTGTCTACTTGTGTTTATGCTGTGATGCAAAGGGACAGAAAAGGTGTAATTGGACGGAGTTAGATTTTTGATTGGTAAATTTTTGTAAGACTAACACAGATAGCACTAGTAAATTGTTTTCATATGACGCATAACTCCTTTTTAGTTTGGTTACATTGTTATATACTTCTGTGAAATAGGACGGCTACTGTGATCTCTTAGTTTATCCATCAGTTATACTCATGTGCGTTTGAGCAAGACGGTTATTTTTATTGGACCTTATAGCATTTCAGAATATATAAGTATCAACTTTAGCTAATCATAGTAACAGTACCAGTTGTACCAGCACATGGATGTTCCAAATTTCAATCTTTTAATTATAACAAGAATGTTTTCTCAAAAGTCGAACCCTAGACATACTAGAAAGACCACTGAGGCATTGGCAGATTCTAATAATAATATAAAATATATATTGTCAAATTTATTGATTAAAAATTATGTTTCATTTATATTTAAGAAGCAAAATAATGACTTGCTAAGGACACAGTTTCTTAACTTGCTTTTTATTGTTATTCATTAGTGATTTTGTCTTCAAAACTTTGTTTCTCTTGGACTTGAATTGAAATTGGAATGAATTGAATAATAAAAAATTAAAGTAGTCACATGTAAATAACTTAACTCAATATATTGTAATAGTTGTTAGAAAATTGTTCTATTTATTTTATTGTAAAACATTTAAAATACTATTAGTTAATATATAATTTGCTTTAACTTCAAATACAAATTGAAACAGTACAAAATTATATATTTAATAAACTTTGAGTTCTAAATCAAAGACATAAAGACTGTTTTTGCTACTACAATAACATGAACGAAGAATAACTTGTTCCACAACCCTATTCTGGGATTGTAATAGCGAATTTAAATAAAAATATCACATCAACCTTATTACGTGAGCGATAAGACATATTTTGGAAAAACATTTCAGTATTTTGTTTTTGAATCGTTTCAAGCAATTATAAGAATAACACTGTCGCAATAATTACTATAAATTAATTATGATTGTTATTTTAATATTTTCATTTCTGTTTGTATTTAAGTACCCGGTATAGAAGCTCTTCGGTATTGGCGCGCGAAATATTTGTAAACAAACTTTTAAAGAGGTTCTAATACACATACAAAGAATTTACCATGTTGTTTATACCATATGGTAACAGTAAGAAATATTTTATGAATGAGAAAAATGATTTCTTGTTGTAATTATCACACTTTTGAATATTACAATACTGTTTACATTCTTCCAAAAATGAAAATAAATTTATTTTACACAAGCCACTTTTTCATTTATCTTGACTTATGACAATTGACTGTAAGGATTCAGAATTTTGATCTATAGAATAGATTGCGGTGACTGGAGCATAGGCAAAACGAAACATTACTAGTGAATTAGGTATTAGGATTTCTCGGAATATATCTGTGGTTTTAGTGTACTACACGTGTTTATTTACAGTAAAAGATTTTATTATTTATATTCAAATTATATTTTAAACAAGAATAAAAACCTTATTACATATTAAGAGCTAAGGTTTAATTAGACATCCCTCTAAAGATCAGATACTAAATGGATGCAAATAAAGACATAGAAGTGAAAGAACAGCAAAGTTCCAATTTACAAGCGGTAAAAATGGATGAAAGTAATGATTCTGGGGAGAATACATCATTAAATCAAGATTTAAAATTGGAGCCCGAACTATATAGTTACGACACAAATGTCTATAAGAAATACTTTTTACGTGAGACTAAACTGTAAGTACTAATTACTAATTAGTCTACAAAAACTCTTTCAATATAAAAGAACATCATAAATAATAGTTTCAGAATAGCAAAGCGCTTAAGAAAGTAGTTTATTAAGTTAAATGACTTAATTATTTTAAAAGTAAATCATAGTTGTGTTTCCTACTAAAAATGAATCAATTTTTTTTAGAAAGCCAGATGTCTATATTGAAGATGTCAAGATAAAAAGCACAAGGAGTAGAAGTACAAAAGATACAATAACGAAGGATATTCTAGAAGATTTATATATTTGTGATATTTGCGATTTCACATCATCTTCAGAAATAGGAATGACTTTACATAGAAACAGTCATAATAATATTACAAATAAATATAAATGTAATATTTGTAAACAAGAGTTTTGTACAAACACATTATTAAAAAATCATAAAGATAAACATGAAGATGAAACATTTCTATGTAAAAAATGCAAACTAGCATTCTCAGATCACAGAGTATATCTTACTCACTTGATAAATCACATGACGAAGCCTCCCTATTCTTGTTTTGAATGCGATTATGAATTTAGAAAACTACGAAGTTTAAAGGCTCATATTAAGCATCATTTTTTAGATGTCGAAGTTCAATGTCCTATCTGTAAGAAAAAAATTGGAAAGAGATCTTTGAATAATCATATTCAAACCCATAATTCTGCAACTGAATGTATTGAATGTCATAAACTTGTGTCAAAGAATAATATTGATTACCATATGGCAGTACACACTGGATTAAAACCTTTTCAATGTTTATATTGTGGTAAAGGTTTTATAACAACATCTCAACGACTAAGACATAGTAGACAACATACAGACTATAGACCATACAAATGTGAAATCTGCGACCGAGCTTTTCCACAAAATATAGAGTTACAAAGGCACATTTTAAGCAAACACTCATCACATCGGTATGAATGTGATACTTGTGGTAAAAGGTACAAACATAAGAACTCTTTGGCTATGCATATCCGCATACACACAAACTACAAACCATTTAAGTGTCCTAAGTGCCCAAAAGTGTTTACAGTGTTACCATCTTTAAAAAGTCATTTTTATACAAGACATATTAAAGAAAACAAATTTCATTGTGAGACATGTGGTAATGAATTCAAAACAGTACAGGGCTTAAGAAATCATAAATTGACTAAAGCACACCAAAGAATGGAATATAAGTTAAAGATGGAGAAATAAATTAACTTTAGAATATCAAGTCATACTAAATAATTTTTTTTATGCACAGATAATTGACAAAAAAGTATTTTATTAAGGCAGCTTAAAACAGGAGCTTTGAATTCAAGAAAGCAAATGTTTCAACCAACCTTCAAAATCTGTTTTATATAGGTATCACCGAATTATACATATTAGTTTCCAACTAACGACAATGCCTACAATAAAGTCGAAAGTAAACACTTATTCTATTGCTTGTAAGCAAATTACTGACTAAGTCAGTGCTTTTGTTTTCGATTTGTATTTTATTTGTATTGCTTGAGTATTAACAAATATAAGTTTATTGACCACAACTTAGTTTTTCGTCTAGATACTATGAACAAATCATTTTTGAATGTAATGTTCAAATGTGCCCCATGTACTGAATTATTTATTATTTTTTTAAGTTTATATCAAAATTTAGCAATATTGTCAACTACCATAGAGTGTTATTGTTAACTTCATCTTGTCGCAGTGGCTAATATTACCGTGTTTTTTCGAAGTTCGATGGTCTAGGAAGCAATAAACACACTTTTTTAGAAACCATTTAGTAAAAATTTGATAAGTATTGCGGAATTTATCAATTAAGTTTGTAAAAAATACTGATAAAGTGGCAGTAGCATTTAAATAGCATGACAACTCTAGGCAGCCATTTTGTGTAACAGTCCCATTTCGACGGTACGATTATTTCATATTTCTGTTACATTCACACCACTTTGGCGACAATTGCCTCGCAATGGAAAATTTATAGTATACTTACAGAATTTCAAAAGTAATAATCGTATTTCGAGGTTTTGTGCCAGCAGTACCACGTGTTTTAATTATATCTGCTCTCCTAAGACAATAATTAATTAAACGGAAACAGAAAAAAAGATGGTGAAATATTTTCAACCCCAGCTCCAGTCCCCAAAGATGATTTTTACTTTCTTTCTTTATTGTAAATACTGACTTTCATATTTTTAATCTTTGCACTCTTATCTTTGGGATCAAATCCCTCAACACGCAATTCTCTCGTAAACGCATTAAGAGCTGCAGTTCTTGCATCAAGGTTTTTATAATTTTCATTTTCCGAGTTCCACAAACACTTGTTAGTTCTATAAAGTTCAATGAACTTAATATTATCGGCAGCGCCAAACTTAAAGGATTTTAGTGTCATTTTTGAGAACAATACCCTAGTAATCACTAAACTCGAATGAAAAATCGATTTGTACGATACACTATGAACATAAAAAATGTCGAGATTCTCGTAAGTAAAAATTTCGATGTGTAAATAGACGCAGGAAATTATCGCCCAGCGGTAAATCACTGGCGAATCTCGTATGACATAATCGTAGGTGAGAATTCAGTTCTTGCCGGTATGAAAACATTTTGATACGATAATGCTTTGGCGATTTTTGCTGGTGTTAGTCGCGTACGATTTCTCTCCATCTAAATGGGCCTTAAGTATTTCAATGAAAATAATAAAAATACTTTTAGCCGGAGTAGCCGTAGGGCACCGCTCTATTTAGGGTTTTGGAATATAATATATTCAATATTGAGAATAATAGGCCAATAGGGCCTAATCATAGACTGCTCGGTTGGCCGGTTGCACTAAAACACTATTGTCAGCTGTCAAAATTGGCGCCATCGCAGAGGCGAGCTGTCATGCGAGGCTATTGCTGATATTGCTCTTTAGATTTGGAATTTTGGAGGCATCCTTTCCTTTCGAAGTTCAAATTGCATCGACTAAAAACTAGGAACTTCAAACTTAAATAGTGAGAAAAGATTTGTGCCGGTTTTTTTATATCATGTAAAATTTTAATATTATATATAAGTGCAATGCTATCAAAGTATTCAATATACGGAGGAGGACGATGGCGGGAGATTGATATAGAAACTGGTCGCGTCGCAGGATGGGCAGGCTCCAACTTTGTTTATACAAAACGCGGCAACTTAGTAGTGCTAAAACCAAAATCTGTTTTAAGAGGATTGAAGGACCTTGCAAGTGGCCACATAAGCACGGTTAAAGATGGTTTTCACCTATCACAATTAATAAAGTAAGTTCTTTTATAGCCCTCGCTTCTTAGCATACTTTGGACGCTTTTGCACAAACAAACAACAATTAATTATTTATTATTACTTATTTTAGTCATATTTAATTGAGGTTGTTTATTTGTCTATCACCTATAGAATATTTGTTATTTTTTTCAGAAAGAAGAAACCTAAAAAGTCGCCAAAGCAAATTAAATGCAAATGTTACTATCAACATAAACATGAGTAAGTTGCTTAACTTTAATTTTAATCTGAAGTATTCCATTGTTAATTTGCATTTATACAACCAATATGATAATTAGTCAACTTATTTTGAATAACTTAATTCTAATGTAATTGGTGGGAAATGGAGGAGGTGCTTATCCAAGATGACATTTACTCTAAAACAATTATTAAAATTATTTACCTAATTTAAGTCCCATACTAATGCTATGTCATAATACTGGCTTCATTTCTTTAAATACTGAGTTTCTTTTGAATGAAATGATATTATATGTCTGTTATTAATTATCTTTATTGTACAGTGTAAACTCTATAACAACACTCAATTCTCAATTACTCATTTTGACGTTACATTAGTTAGTATCTTCGTTCCATTAGGAAAGAAAACTCTGTATAAGAAAAAGAAAAAGTTTATTTCAGACTAGTGTTAGTAATAATTACATAAAACCCAATTCTTAGTCTGTTATTTTCGCTTACGTCTTTTGCTGCACTAGAAATTATGTTGTATTTTTTTATTCATATCTTGCGATATTGAGGCATCTTCGTGGTAAAGCACGTTCAAGTTCAACATTATCCTATTGAGAGTGGGTGTAATGCTATCTAGAGTGTATCATTGTATAGATGACAAGCTAAACCAACCCAAGCCAATTTCGACGCTTTAGGGGGTTTGTCGTTACACTGTATTTAAAAATATATAACATGCCATTATATCTTAATTTAACAATTAATTTTGACTGTACCAAATACAAATATTGTTGGTTCTCTCTCTATATATACTGTAAAGTATATAGTGGCACTATAATATCAAGTTGGTATATGGATTGAAATGTTATAAGGTATGGATTACATGGGCACATCAAACTTCTGATTAGCCATTCACTAATAGAAAGATTGTGTATATATATATATAGATAGAAGAAAAAGTAGCAAGGTAATTGTAGAAATTTTAAAATACCTTTTTTTTTAATATTTTCAGTGTTGCAGCTCCAATTGACAAAATTCTACAAGCAAATGTGTCTAATGCCTCTATTCAGTGCAACATAATGCCTGTTAAGAAAACACTGAATAATTTAAATATAACAGAGTCTGTTGAAAAAGACGTAGAGAGCATTGAAAGTACTGTCTCAGATAACATTGCACGAGCAATAACAATATCAGAAAGTGATGTGGAGACATTCCGAAGCTACATTGTACATAGTACAAAAAATATATTCAATGTCGATCTCTTTATGTATGATGCCAACGATGATTATAAACGAAGTGTATTTTATAAAATTACACCAATTGTTAAAGTACAAAGGCATCCAATTATACTAAGTCTTGTCAGACAGAATCAATTTAAAATCAAACTTAACTCCGTAGAAATGAGAAACAAAACTAATACGCTTTCGAAAAAAACTAATTATTGTGAGCCAAAAATTAAAATTATTGATTATGAGGATAACTCTGACAGTGAAATTACTAAAGAAAGAGAAATAATAAAGCACAAGAAAGTTGACATTGTACAGATATTTGATAGTAATGTAAATAAAGATTTAATTAAAAATAAAGGAAAGAGAAAGGCAGTTGAAGTAATAAATCAACCAAAGGCTCAAGAGAAGAGATCAAGACTTAACAATAGCGATAGTTTGAAGGAGAACATTGACAATGTTCAGAGAGACAAGTTTGGAAAACCGATAAATAAAGTGTTTTTAGTTAAAAAGTGGTCAGTTAAAAATAAGAGGTAATTATGATTCAATGTTTTTGTGATTAGAATGTAAATTACTTGCATTACTTTATACCCTGATTTTTAATTCCGTAGAATTCTGACAGCTATCATTTTTTGACATGTCAGAGATGGCAAACCTTTTTGGCTGGGCACATTTTTTAAATTTCAATATGAGTGAACATCTGAGTCTATACATACATTTTATTTGTTAGTGAATGTATCCTTTTTATTAAGTGCTGTGCTCCACATTAATAGTGGTTTTACGGCGACTGATAATTACTTCCTTTTTCATCACAAACAGTAAAAAACGCACAAGTAAAGATAACATTTTATTTTTGTAAAGGTTTACTAAACCTTGAATTAGTAGCTAAAGAATAAAATAAAGTAATTAAAGTTAATTCGATATATTGTTCGTGATATTGAAATATTTGTTATTTTTGTATTAGGTCACTTGAGTAAATTTACCTTTTTGTAGGTTAAACATAAAAATACGTAGTATTTTGTTTAATGCTCTTAAATAAGTCAAATTTGTCCCTTTTTCGGATGAGAACTTTCTTAGTAGCAAATATAATATGAAATGTGTGTAAAAATATGAAATGTCAGAATTCTACGGAATAAAAATCAGAGTATAAATAATTTAACCTAACGGTAAAAACTAGAAATAAATAATCAAACTCAAAATAACTTCATACATATAGGTAACCAAATAAACTTATGAACATCAATAGAAAATATATTAAATTGATTCTAAATTGACATTTACTACCAGTTCTCAAGTCTATGGCGTATAGCAGGAAAAATTGGCAAGAAAGATTCCACTCTTTTTAATCGCCAAGTTTTGAGTCATTCAAATTGTTTCAACTGGAGCAAATCTAATTTAAATAATCGTCAAATTTATAAAAAGCTTTATTGATTGTTGTAAAAACGAATACAATTTCCATATAAGGAGTGGTTTATCTTCTGGAGCCTGGTTGGTCGTACACTCAAATTAGTTCTGTTTCTAATATGATACTGGTGAAAGTCACCATTTGTTATTGTTTATATTTTTTTGTCCATACAAGGCTTCAAGAATATATTAAACATTTGTTCCTCATTTGTATTATTTTCAGAACGCGGCCCATAAATGAGTTCTCATTATTAGAAGACGAAGCAATCGTTGCTTGGATAGTTACAAATAAAAAAGGGAATTTAGTGAATGGTAATAGAATGTGGAAGGAGATGGAGCCGATACATTTAAAAGTTACCGGACATTGTGAGTATAATCTCTTACATATATAAAATTCTCCGAAACAGCTGGACCGATTCTTATTAAATTTTTTATGCATATTCAGTAAGCTGAGAATGGGCTACTATCTATTTTTCAGACCTCTAAGTAAAAAATTGTTTCCTAGAAATAATATACAGGGCAAAACAATGTTTGCCGGGTCAGCTAGTGTATTAATTAAATTTTGAGACTGCCCCGTTCAAGTATTTCGTAAGCACTAATGGGTGGAAGGGGGTTTGGGGTCTTTGATTTTCTTATTTGGTGATTACGTCAGTACTTATTTACTTTTTTACACATATTACCCACACATTGTCTATGCTTGAAAACGAAAGGCATTCGATGATTTTTACAAATAACTAATACGTACTTACTATTATTTTGACGCTTTTCTTACTTTTGCTAACAAGAGAAGGGGGGGATACACAACATAAATAAGTCTTTACTTCATGACTATACCAGTTAAATGACATAAGAGTCTAGAATAAAAAAATAAATGTTTTTTTGACATACGAGGTTATCATTCTACAGTGACAATATAATACTTGATTTACAGATTTAAAAGGAATTTATTAAGTAAAAATGTCAAATATATATCCATTTAAGCATTTATTTAAAAATCTTTAGTTTGCAAGTTCCGTTCAAGTATTAATAAGGAGATTTACTGCAATTTATCCCCTTCCTATATTATTATTATTATTATAGCTTTATTTAATCCAAACTCATTAAGGTACAAAAAAGAAGTAAGAATATTTTATATGTTAGTAATATGTAGTAATCTTAGTCTATGTTAGTATGTGTAACATTAGTATATTCAAAGTTTGGATCCCATCTGGGTAAAAGCCTCCTCCATTTTTTTCCATTTTATTCTATTTGTAGCTGTAGTAATCCAGTTTCCGCCTGCTACTTTGACTATGGCATCCACCCACCTTTTTTTGGGTCGACCTCTGTTTCTCTTACCAAGTGGACCAGTCCATTTTGTAGTTTGTACAGTCCATCTTTTGTCGATGTATCGAGAGATATGTCCTGCCCATTGCCATTTCATTCTTAAGGCGTGCCTAAGAGCATCAGTTAATTTAGTTTGTTGGCGTATGTCTTTGTTCTTTATCTTTTGTATCTTCTTATATATCCCTTCCTAAAAATAAATACGTAATTATATATTGGGTTAACCTTAGTATAATTTCAGATCGTTCTTGGCATTCCCTTCGCAACCGATACCTGCGACATCTCCTCCCAGCTCTGGGTAGTCTTAGCTTGACTCCTTCGCAGGTCACTGATCTCCGGGCAGCGGCTGCTACTGGTAAGTGTATTACCAACACTGGGATGTTCATTATACATTGTGTATTTAACAGACATATTCTAATCAATGGCGCTACAACCTCTTTAGGTCTTGGCCTCAGATTTCTGAATCTGTTTCATGATCATTTTTAAATCTAATAGGCAAGTAGGTGATCAGCTTCCAGTGTCTGACACACGCCGTTGACTTTTTGGGTCTAAGGCAAGCCGGTTTCCTCACGATGTTTTCCTTCAAGCGAGCGAATGTAAAATGTGCACATAGTCCATTCGTGCACAGCCGGTGATCGAACCTATGATCTTAGGGATGAGAGTCGCACGCTGAAGCCACTAGGCCAACAACTATTTTTAACTGACTTTAAAAATACAAACAGCTTTCTAATAGTGAAAGAATTTTTGAAATCGGTCCATCAGTTTTAGTGTGACTTAAACATACATACAAACAAGTGTTTCCTCTTTGTTAACAGAGTGTGGTTGTAGTTGAATAATCATTTAATAGTTGAATAAGTTTTATTGCTAATATAGCAGAGACAGTAATCTCTGTACAGTCAGTTTATCAAAGTTATCAAAGAGAAAGAAACTAAGTATAGAATATAAAACCCATAGTAGTGTAGTTAGCAAAAAACCACAGACTACACAATACAGAACAAAGTAGAACGCGCCAATTTTATTTTTAAAACTCTTTATAATCTAATATATAAAATTCTCGTGTCACAATGTTTGTTTCCATACTCTTCCGAAACGATCGATTCTTATGAATTTTTTTATGCATATTCAGTAAGTCTGAAAATCGCCTACTATCTTTCAAACCCCTAAGTGATAAGGGGTGTCCACCCCAAAAAATGTATTTTTATTTTCTAGAAGAAAATTTTTTTTTAATTTTTTTACGATACAACATACAAAAATACATACAACCCCTAATTTTCACCCCTCTACGATCAACCCCTATTTTTTACTATTGTAAATTGTTATTTTTCAACTAAAAATTTCCTAGAAATAATATACATGGCAAAACAAATGTTTGCCGGGTCAGCTAGTATTAGTATAGATATATATCGAATTATAATTTCAGGCGAACTGAAAGCCAACAAAATGAACAAGAATAACTCGATATACAGAACTGAGCCTGTTCGCAGTGCTTGGAGTGCACGGCCACAGAAGCTGAAACATTCTGATGGTGAGTTATTTTACCACTATTTTGTTTTTTTTTAACAAAACTATAAGTTAAGGGGAAGGGACTGTGTTTTTGTGTACTAACTAATATATAAAATTCTCGTGTCTCGTGTACTTAAACTCCTCCGAAATGGCTCGACCGAATTTCATCAGAATTAACAGCTATATCTACAGTATATGTTACAAGCTATCTTTTCAAAAATATATGACAATTTTGGTAAACATTAATGTTACAAAACATAAAATATACGAGAAAAATTACTAACAAAACAGCAAATTAGGTATCACTTAACAAGGCTTACTTTAAAATTGATTAGCCCACTACTAATTAAAATTATATCCAAGAAAAAAGGATTATTTTAATAACAATTGTAATGTCGATCACAATATTCTCTGTTCGTAATAATGTGTTTTTGTTCCAGACGAACTCTGTACACCTTCTCGAAATTTACGTTCAAATGTAGTATCACCGCCGAGAAGCAAATTGCCAACATATTCAGAAATAACACGAAGATTTGCTGAAAAACATCGATCGACACCTAATTCTGAAGAGGATGTCACAAATAAAGCACCACCAAAAGGCAATAAGACTAACAAAGAGAGTGAGAACGTAAAAAATAATCAGACTAACAAACAACCAAGAGTTAGTCTGAAAATCATCAGAGTTGACACAAACTCTGGTGAGGAAGGTTCACTTAGAGTAGTGAACATTGATGAAAAGCAATACAAAAAGACAGAAGAAAAATTTGTTAGTAAATCACGTGAAAAATCTTCAAGATATGTCAGTAGAAGAGAAGAGAGCGGTGGCGTGGAAAAGAAGAACCGTAAAGATCGCAAGGGAAATGAAACTGATACAGATGAAGAAATTAAAAGCAATTATTTGGTAAGTGCCGAAAGATCTGATTTGATTAATAAACATAAAAAGCACAGAAATATCGATGATTCCGAGTCAGAACAAAGAAATGAAAAGCAAGGACGCAATGAGACGCGTCAAGAAAACAGATTTTCAAGGAGACTTCGCCATGAGAGATCTGGTGTAGAAGATACACTTGGACAAAACAGAAGTAAAGTGGAATCAGATACAGAACAAAAAAATCAAAGGCAAGGTCCCAAAACGCGTAAAAATAGAGCTTCAAGAAGACTTAAAAGCTTGGAGAGATCTCTTACTGAAAGAAGCATAGGGCGACGCAAAAATGAAGACTCAGATACGGAACCAGAAAACAAAAAGAAGGTTGACAATAGTCGATCTCCTACAAGAAATAGAATTGAAAAAAAATCTGGTGCGGATCTTAGAAAGAGCAGAAATAAAAATGAATCAGACTCAGAACCAAAAAAGAAAGATGACAATAGTCGATCTTCTACAAGAAATCGGGATGGGTATATGTCTCGTGTGGAGAAGAAGAATCTAAGACAGCGCAGAAATAAAAGTGATTCAGACTCAGAACCAGAAAATAATAAGAAAGATGAGAATAGTCAATATTCTACAAGAAATCGGGATGAGGAAATGTCTGGTGTGGAAAAGAAGAATCTTAGACAGCGCAGAAATAAAAGTGATTCAGACTCAGAACCAGAAAAGAAAAAGAAAGATGACAATAGTCGATCTTCTACAAGAAATCGGGATGAGGAAATGTCTGGTGTGGAAAAGAAGAATCTTAGACAGCGCAGAAATAAAAGTGATTCAGACTCAGAACCAGAAAAGAAAAAGAAAGATGACAATAGTCGATCTTCTACAAGAAATAGGAATGAGGAAATGTCTGGTGTGAAAAAGAAGAATCTTAGACAACGCAGAAATAAAAGTGATGCAGACTCAGAACCAGATATGAAAGAGAAAAATGAAAATAGTAGATCTTCTACAAGAAATCTGGATAAGGAAAGGTCCGATGTGGAAAAGAAGAATCTTAGACAGCGCAAAAATAAAAGTGATTCAGACTCAGAACCAGAAAAGAAAAAGAAAGATGACAATGGTCAATCTTCTTCAAGAAATCGGGAAGAGGAAATGTCCGGTGTGGATAAGAAGAATCTTAGACAGCGCGAAAATAAAAATGATTCAGACTCAGAACCAGAAAAAAAAATGAAAAATGACAATGGTCGATCTTCTACAAGAAATAGGGAAGAGGAAATGTCCAGTGTGGATAAGAAAAGTCTTAGACAGCGCAGAAACAAAAATGATTCAGACTCAGAACCAGAAAATAAAAAGGATTCAAGGCGATCCTCTAGAAGACTTGAAGAGGAAAGATCTAGTATAAATAAGAAGTTTAGACAGAGCATAAATAAAAAGGAATCAAACACAGAAAATAAAAATAAATCAAAGAATCATCAAAGTCCAAGTTCTCTCACAGAACAGAAGCACCTTCAACAGGCCAGAAATAAACATGAATTAGACAGAGAAGAAACGAAAAAGCAGGATAAGGAACGGGAAAAGAGATCTTCGAGAAGACTTCGAAGTCTAGAAAGATCTCTAACAGAAAAGAACAATCTTAGATCACTTGGAAATTTAGAAGAAAATGAAAAATCCGGTAAAAGTGATAATACATTTTCTAGAAGCAAAAAGACAGACAAATCTGACACTGATGATAAAGAAAACGGCGCCGATAATAAGATGTATCTGAGACAGTACAGATATAAATCTGGTGCCGAATCGGAAAACGCTAAAACCACAAAGAAGAGAGAAAATGGAAATGTTAGTAAAAATGAGAAAAATATTCATAGCAAACCTGTCAAAGTTGATAGATCTAAACGAAAGTATATTGAAATCTCAGATTCGGAGTCTGAAAATGAACGGGAAAAGAAAAATAAAATAGTCAAAAGATCGTCAGGCTCCAATAGTGATTTCGTAAGAACTTCAAAAAAAGAGACAAATAGAAATCGTAGTAGGGTCGGCAAACAAAGCGACGGCAGCGATTTCAGCGTTAACTCCTCTCAAATGTCAATAACGTCAAAGAGTGACTCTGACAGCTCCAATGACATTGACAAGAAACGGTTGACAAGACAAAGCCTCAAAGTCGAATCGAGCAGCAGAGATAATATCATTTTTGAAATTAGTGATAACGACGAAGCGTATGCCAGTAGATCTGACACAGAGGTCAAAAATACTGGAAAAAGAAATTTAAGAAAACTTTTCAATCACAGAGCACATTAATAAATTAAGAACGTCCGCCATCTTGAATGTTGACTCTGTGCCTTGTTAGCGAAAATGCATGTTAAATGAGGATATTATTTTTTTAAATAAAGCTATATTTGTGTTTTTTTATTATTTTTTTCATTAAGCCAAAATTTTTGAACACTAACAGAAATGCTTGAAGAGCAATGTTAGTGACTTTAATGCCTTCGAAATTTGAGGATATAAAATAAATTCAAAGCTCCCGTTAAAGGTAAATTAATCAATAAATGTATATTAATCAATAAAGCCTTTATAAGTTTGACGATCGTTTAAACGATTGATTTCCTCCAGTTCAAACAATTTGTATGACTCAAAACTTGGCGATTAAAGAGTGGAGAGTTTCTTGTTAGTTCTTCTTGCCCGCTCTACGCCCTTGACTTGCGAACTGGTAGTAAATTTTGAATAAATTTCTTTTCTGTTGACGTTCATAAGTGTACTTGTTTACCTATATTTAGTTATTTTGAGTTACTGAAACAAGTAGAAGTCAGAACGAAGAATAATTGCTATTTACGTCCAAACAGTCCAATACTGAAGTTGGAGCGCCGATGACTTACTCAATGAGAACATGAATGAGAAATTCTTATATGAAATACTCAGCGATAATGTAGCATTTTAATGGTCCAAGAATTTTGAAAATCAGTCCAGAATCCAGATTCTGAGTTATTTCTTAGTTTAGTAATATAAATTAAACTGTCTTAAATTTAATATGACAAATGTTAGTTTCTTTAGATAGCAATAATAACACAATATTTTTTTAGTCTTTATTAAAATATATCTATAAAACTGTAATTTCTTAAACTAAGATTCAGAGTTGAAACTAAGTATAACATTGACGTCCTTATGTTTTTGACGAAAGTGACATTTAGCACAATCATATACATGTGTCCTCTAGAACTTCGTCACTATATTTTATTTGAAATCTCTTATGAAGATTACGGTGAGAGCGTCGCTGTTTTTTCTGTCAGATTAGTATTGCCAGAAAATAAAAAAGTGTGTGCGTACAAAGTACGCATGTCAGAAGCGAAACAAATTGGCAAACTTTAAACTTTTTTATTTATTTATACAAATTTAACTTAACTTTAACTTTAGATTTCGGAGACTTAGAGGGCGGGAAAAAGGACGATATTATGTTAGGAATTGAATGAATTTAATTTATTTGTTCGATAATAAAAACACGTGGCATTTTAATTTACAATTCGTCATTAGAGATTGCATAAAATATAAAATACATACTAATATTTCATAAATTCTCTTAACGAAATTTTAATTTTAAAAATATAATTTTTATAAGGTAATTCACCCTTCCCGCTCTCTCCCTTTTCTTCGATAAAAACGCTGCACATCTTCGTGACGTTTTTTTTTAAATTTTACCTTCATGCACCTAAAGAAGTTTCACTTCAATAACCATTAAAAGGGAAATAATTGGACATCATGCAGGCTAACTTAACAATTTATTGAAATCGTCTTCAAAAACAATGTATCTAGAAAATACAGTTCTAGGCTTAAATAAATGTGACACAAGCTTAGGAACAACTGATATGATAGCTTTTCTTACCTGTACTATTAATATAATATCTTTTAAGATACCTAGCAATCAGGACCGATAGTTAAAACTTATACTCTTCTGTAATAATAATGCAAGGAATAAAAATAAATACATTTTAGTTAGATTTTTATTAGATGTTGGTAGATAGTTGTATTTGAGAGCTAACTGTCAATGTCAGTCTGACATTTCAAAAAGGCGACGGTAGTACCAATTTCAGCCACCGACCAAGAAAAGTATGTGGCACTGTAAAATACGCTATTGACAGTACGAAAAATAAAGTTATTAAGTGTTTGTGTAAAAAAAATACAGAAATAAAGATTCTGTTGAGAGAGAAATAACTTGTAAATAATCTTTAAAAATTAAAACATTGAAATATAAACGTTTTTAAATGTAAAGTATTTGAATTAAATGGTTTTTGAAATTCTGTCAATTTCAGCCTATTAAATGAAACGTCAAGCATCAAAGACATCATATTGTCAAAGTCATATTGACGTAACGTCATTACTAAGACCGAGATCTGTCACGTTGAGTGTCAGAATTGCCATTTATTACATCCATAAGTTCGTTGATGTCACCCAATATTGGTTCCCGTCGACCGTTTGTGTAAAGTTCGTATCTCGGCGGTGTTTCGATTGAATTTCGACCACACACTATTATATGAGGGTAGCCCATTCTATGGAAGAAATATTTTCACAAATTAGTTTTTTGTTAATATAGCAAAAATATATATTATATACTAATTACTAGCAGACCGGCCAAGCGTTGCTGTGGCTAAGGTTTTTGTTATATTACATTGTAGCAAACTATTCAAGGGAAACGGCAGAAGAACACCAGTCATAGGGACCACCATGCTTTTTTGATAGTTATGCCATTAAATTGTAGCTTATGTGAAACTTTGGTACTATCAACTCAGCGCCATCTGTTAGAAGTGTGACTATCAAATAATAAACAAATAATTTGCAATAAAATAATATTGCGGGTATAAATTGCGATCTTTTAAGTAAGATCAAACTACACACGGTGTGCAAATTTGATTGAAATTGTTTTAGTAGTTTAGGAGTCCATAGCGGACAAACAACGTGACGCGTAAATTATATATATTAAGATTTTTATGTAGAGGCAAATGGGCAGGAATCTCACCTGATGTTAACGTTACGCTTTTTTAATTGGAGCCTCGGTGAGGTGATACGGATGGATTCTACACACCCCCGTTTCCTCCTTTTCTATAAGTACCAATTCTCAAAAGGCAGGTAACGCACTCGCGAGCCCTATCATAGACTGTTCATGGACAGCATCACTTAACATCAGGTCAGCCTCCAGCCAGTTTCTTGTGACATAAAAAATTATTAGGAAATAATATTTATCATGAGTAATATATACCTGTCCGCCATTAAGAGTCGTTTTCCAATGGTCAATGTATGTCTATCATCCAAAAGCACGTCATCTCCTAAAATTCCGTCAAATTTTCTTGCTACACCCTCTATATGATTTAAGCCGTGCTTTGACCACTCTTTTGAACCCTCCTGTATAAATTTAATAATTGGTTGAAGATGGCAACATTTATTTAAAAATAAATCATTGGCGCCACAACCTTTTTAGGTCTGGGCCTCAGATTTCTGTTTCATCCTTCGTCAATCGAATAGGCAAGTAGGTGATCAGCCTCCTGTGCTTGACACGTGTCGACTGTTGGGTCTATGACAAGTTTTCCTCACGATGTTTTCCTTCACCGTTAATTAAATTGTCACCTAGAAATTCCATTAGTGCCCAGTCGGAGATCGAACCTACGAACTCAGGGATGAGAGTCGCACGCTGAAGCCACTAGCCCGACAGCAGTGGAATTAAATTTTTATCAGTTTAAAAAAAAATCGACAACACGTATATTTCACCTTTATAAAAATAAAAATATCATCATAATAAACTTTTAATTTGAAACATAACTTTAGAGTCGAAAATATCTGTGGTTGGTTTGTAAAAAAAAATTAAAGTATAATGGCGGCCATTTTAAGTTCTAAATAATAAACTCACCTTAGGCCCAATAACAATCGCGGCGAAGGGCGCTATACTCTTTGGCCATCTTATCTGACTTTCGCTCGACAATGCTTCTAAAGTAGCAGCTAGTAATCTGTCAAGGAAAATGGCAACACTCTCCATTAAACGCCGAATATTACACTGATTTAATTCAGTGTTTGACACCGGAATGCACAGATTACAGCTGTCAATACTATTCTGTGCTCAATGCACAGAACATTAAACACTACTTGATATTACATGTTAGGAAAAATATCTAGTGCCACATACCTTTCTTGGCCGGTTGCTGAAATTCGATATATTTATTCATAGAACAAAAATATATTCATTTTAATTCCTTATTAATTACAATGTCAAAGTTTTAATTATTGAACGGTTCTGGTTGTTAGGTATCTTAAAAGATATCATATTAATAGTATGGGTAACAAAACCTATCATATCAGTTGTTCCTAAGTTTGTCACATTTAAGCCTAGAACTGTAGGTACTAGTAAACATTGTTTTATTAGGACATTTCAATAAATTATTAAGTTAGCCTGCATGACTTCAAATTATTTCCCTTATAATGGTTAATTTTTATTTACTGGCAATACTAATCCATGACAGCGACGCACTTACCGGCCTAGAAAAGTATGTGGCACTTTAGTTAGGCTAAACGAAGAAACAAGTTTCAATTATTAATTAGTACTTTAGATTCAAATTATGTTTAATTGTAAGTTTAAAAAAAAATTAACTATCATAATTGCAACATCCCGCCAAAACGCTTTTAGACAAGATGGCGTCGCATCTTATAGACGTACTGTGGTAATTATTATTCACACAAATTTTGAAATTTGACTTATGGAATACAGAAGTTTTGATATAATTTTTTTAATTTATTTACAAGTCTAAACTATATAATATATATTATACAGGGCGTCCCAAAAGTCGACGTCAAGTCGAAATTTTCTCATAGGTAATGCCACACCAGTTATCAGAAAAATTAAAAAAAAAAATAAGTCATGTATTTTTGAAGTTATGGATATTTTTTTGTTATTCCAGAAAATGCACACCATGTGACAGTTTTTTCATTCCTGTTGTTACAAATATTTACTTTTTGCCAATTTTTTTTCTCTTACGTCATCCCGAATAGTGTTTTATGTAACCTATGATTCTAAACTCTGTGCTGATCACTCCAACTTTTAGGAAAATGTCATTTTATACCGTACCAAGTTTTCAAAATTTATTTTCGCACTACTTCAACTGATCGTCCTGAAAAAAAAATGTATTACTCCAGTTTGGCAAGTAGCTTTAAAAGTTAGCGCATTTAATAAGGATTCTACAGTGGTATAACACTGAGTCCATTATTTCTTAGATCGGCCATAAAAAAATTTTTTGTTAAACAAAGGCTGTTTTTTAAAAATGTCTCTGGAATTACAAAAAACGATTCTAGTGTACCCAAAGCGTTCCTAATAACCACAGCGTGGTTTAAATCCACGATTGATGAGACCAGACAGATCACAGTACCGTTTCAAAGATAACATGTGGACTGGAATTTTGAACGGAAAAGTCATAGGGCCTTTTGAGTTACCAGAAGTTTTAAATGCTGAAATTTATTTAGATTTCTTACAAAAAAATTGGCAAAAAGTAAATATTTGTAACAACAGGAATGAAAAAACTGTCACATGGTGTACATTTTCTGGAATAAAAGGAAAATTTCCATAACTTCAAAAATACATGACTTAATTTTTTTTTCTGATAACTGGTGTGGCATTACCTATGAGAAAATTTCGACTTGACGTCGACTTTTGGGACACCCTGTATAACTTTAAAATTAAATTAAATCCATCTTTTATAGGCGTTACTCATAGTAACACTAGTTTTTTAAGTGATTTCTTTTTTATTTATAAAAGCTTGCCAACGCTAATATAAACTGAAATGATAAATGATAATTTAATATTACCTTGTAATACCAATTCCATAGCAGGACATAATCAAAGGTGAAGAGTTCGAATCCGAGTGAATACATTTAGCTTGCAAGGGCTCGCTGTATTTTGTACCAAGAATGAATGTGTGACCGACCTGTGAATATAAACTTTAACTGTCAAAACATGAGTTTTAAGTTAGTCTGCTATTTTGGAGTGTTTAGTGCCACGGTGTACCTGTTGCAGCTAATAAGCTTAATAAGCCATTCAATTAACAGCCTAGCCTTTTAACTAAACAGCGCCGTTTAACTAGCGGCCTTACAGATATTCAGTTGATCAAAGAGACTTGGATCGATGACGTTTCATTATTTGCCTAGCCTAATTTTTTAATTTAATTAAGTTAGTTAGCTAGATAGTCATGTCGCTAACTAACTTAACTTAACTAAATTAGCCGACTAAGTAACTAACCTCAACGGTCTGAACTACATCCGTCTCGCTCGCACACTTCTCGCACTCTCCGCTCCGCTGTACGTGCGAGCAGGACGGGCATATGTTTATCGAGTCCTCACCCGCGAGTGCTGGGAGTTGCCATTCGTGGGATAACGATCCCCCCATTTCACCGGTCGGTGCTACCACTGAAAAAAATTATCTATCAATTATTTCTTACCATAGACAATTTTGTCAAAACTGATTTTTATCAAATCGTCGTCGTCGAAACCTACAATGTACCAATTTAAAATCAAAATAATTTATTCATTTAGGTGACACAATGTACACTTATGAACGTCAAAAAAGAAATAGGTACATATTGCGGAAAAAAATTGACGAAAAGAGTTCCGGACAGGTTATTGCCAGTTCTTCTCTACCATTCTACGCCCTTGATTTAAGAACTGGCAGTAGTGTAAAATTAGAAGCATTTCGCATTTAATATATTTTTTATTGACGTTCATAAGTGTCAATATGTTACCTAAATGAATAAATAAATTTAAGCTTGCATTACTTACATACATAAGTAATTTTTTATCATATTTTATCAATGCAAGGCCAATGGTGTTGTACAAGGTCATATACATGTACCACTAACTTAACTAACACAATAAAACTTACATCTATGAACGGGTAGACCCAATAAATCAAACAACCGTCTGTATACCTCGGTAACTTGACTATATGTATTATGTGCACATTGTATATTACTATGAAATCCATACAAATCCATCATATTAAATTCTCTTGCTCTGAGTAAACCATGCTTTGGTCGTAGCTCATCTCTATATTTGTTTGATATCTGAAAGTATATGTTTATAAAAGTTACTTAATTTATTTTTATGTTTTCTATATATACAATTTTGTTATTAATAATAATCAATTAATTTTTTCTCCCATATAACATTTTAACAGTTAAGAAGGTATTGGGAGAAACAAAAAAATGATAAGAGTACATGGATATCAAAAGCAGGCAAGGGTATGTTCAAGTATTATGTAAGCCAATTTACTGCCTTTCCTCTTGTCAGGAAAAGTAAGCAAAGCTCTCAATAATAATAGTACATAAACTTTTTGTAGGAATCCCCGAAAAAGCATTTCGTTTTCAATTATAGACAATGTGTAAAAAAGTAAATAATTACTGTTGACGTAATCACCAAACAAGAAAATCAAAGATTGATAAAAAATTCTTCAGCTTTATACCATTTTAATATGTTATTATTATCTGTAGTTTGTTTTCTATATTCGAAAATCAGGTTCCTTTTAAATTACTTTATCATACATTAATTTTTAAATGTATAAATTATTATATTATATTTCCAATACCATACCTGATACAAAAGAAGTGGTAACTGTTTATGTGAGAGAGGCCCAACATCTGCCATAAGATCTGCAATAGCTTCTTCATGAGTCTGTAAAAGTTTCAAGACAGGGTTATGAAAAAATTCAAATATTTGTCCTTTCCTTCTTCTTTAGGTTTGAATTATGTTGTTGTTTAATTATGGTAACTTTGTGGTTAGAGAATGTTTGTATATAGTATTTTAATTGATTTAATTGTTATATATCCATATCATATAGGTTTAAATAAGAATAATGTATTCCAGCAAAAATATTCACTTAAAATCTACTCACAGGTGCCAGCAAATACTTTTTATCATGCCTATCTTTGATTGCAAAGAGTTCTGATCCAACACTGTCTAGTCTTCCTGTTTTCTCCCACAGATTTGCAGAGGTCAGGCATGGTAATGATATTCTTTGTGCCTGCACTCTTTCTAGGCAGGAATTTACCAATAGTTCAAGCTTATCTAGGGCTCGTCTGGCTAGTGGCAAAATTGTGAAGAAGCCAGAGGTAGTTGGACGGATGAGACCACATTCTAGAAGAAGCTGTAATTTTAAATTACTTTTTAATTTCAATCCTTTCTCAGTTGTCCTGTAGTTTATTACTGCTTAGTTACATAGTATTGCGTTTAACTCTTCATAAATTAAAAAAAAAAACTATTTTTAGGATATATACTTAAGATTTTTATTAATTTAGAAATTAACTGTGATGTTTAGGGGACTAATATAATTTCTGTTTGTAGCCTATGAAACTAAGACCCTAACAAAGCGTTACGTCTTTTTTCCAATGACAAATAACAATTTATCGAGATATTTATTTGAAATCCCGCCATGCTAGAGTCATGAAAGGTGCATTTTAATGTAAAACAGATAAACAAATTACTTTTTGGCTTTTACAAGTGATTTCTGTGTTTTTTATTTTTGCACCCTTTGGTATAGTAATCACTGGTTGAAATATTTGTGATAGATATCTCATGTTTTTATTCTTATTTAGTACGATGCTCTATAAAGTCTTACTTAAATTGTATACATAAATAAACATATTGTTTTGCCCGGCTGTTTACAAATAGGTTATAGGTCCAGTCTTAACTCTTAACTCATAAGTCAACTGCACAGTTGAAGTTGTCAATTATCATTTCTGAATTCTGACTTCACAGTTTACATATTTGAAACTGACGAGACAATAAATAATGAAACTCAAATTAATATTTAAATTCAATAAAAACGTACTGATTTTTAAAATATTTCTCTATGAGCTGTTCTAATATAAACTTTTTTCTATTTTTTTTTTATAAATATTCACATTTTATAAAAATGTGTTTGAGTACAAGATGGCGCTAAGTCAAAAACCAATGAGTACAATGTACAAAAAGATGGCATTAGTAAACAAATCACTTCTCTTACTTTTAAAAATTAATGGTTTCTAAAATGTATTTAATATGTTAGCCTAGTGGGTTCAGGGTGTGATTTTCATCCTTGAGGATTTTCTGACTATGTGGCATGTGCCCATTTAACTGGCTCGACTCTGAAGGAAAACATCGTGTGGAAACCGACATGCTTTAGACCCAAATAGGCGGCGTGTGCCGGGCACAGAAGATCAGCCTTCTCCTATCATGATCAACCAGCCAGCCTTCTCCTGATCAACCTACTTGCCTGTTAGAAAAACAAATAATAACGAAAAATTCAGACATCTGATACCAAGAAGGATTGTAGCGTCATTGGTTTTTGAACTGAAACTGAAAAGGGAAAGAGCGATTGAGACCGATTAAGAGAGAGTGAGTAAAGGCGAACGTAGCATAAAGCAAATAGCCATGGAGCGAGAAGGTTGAATTACCTTATAGAAATTCTATTTTTAAAATTAAAATTTCGTAAAGAGAATTTATGAATTATTAGTATTTTATGCAAAATAATTTATTGAAATCTCAAATGACGAATTGTAAATTAAAATGCCACGTGTTCTTATTATCGAAGAAATAAATTTAAAAAATAAATTTTATTATTTGCATTAACTTGCCACACTTTTAATATTTTAATGACAATTAAATTAATTAAATTCATAGCATATCCTCCTTTTTCCCTCCCTCCGAAATCTAAAGTTTTAGATTTGTATAAATATGAGTTAAAATTTGGTTTGCCAAAGAAGTTTCATTTCTGACATGTGTTCTTTCTACGCACGCAGTTTTTTTTATAATCTCTTCAACATATTTGTTTTTGAGTTGAAAGTAAACGAATTTTTAATTATTAAATTAGCAATAATACCATAGTCCAATCTTTTAAAAGATTGAATCGATTGACAGAGTTGCCATTAAACTCAGATAACCTATTTAAAAAGCTATTAATTAGCACATTAACTGGCAACAACGCCAACATCCATTCAGAATAATGACGCGGCGAAACAAATCATTTAACCCGAGATAAGCGGAATAGAAAACCAGTGACTCGCGACACGCTCATCGCTTCTATTATAAGGGTTATATGACGTTCTTAAGTGAGGCGATTTTGTAGCTTAAAAAGGAATATTAAGAATATTATAATAATAAATGTTTGAACCTTTTTGTATATGTATTCCATCTTTGGCTATATCTTTAGTTAAATATAATTTATGTTAGCTGTAGGGGGGGCCGTTCAAGTATTACGTAAGTAGATTAACTGCAATTTAACCCCCCTCTCCTCCTGTCAGCAAAAGTAAGCAAAGCTCTCAAAAATAATTATGTACATATATTAACGTATAAATTATTGGTAGGAATCCTCGAAAATGGCTTTCGTTTTCAAGAATATACAATGTGTAAAAAGTAAATAATTACTGTTGACGTAATCACCAAATAAGCCCCCCCCCCATAGTGCTTACGTAATACTTAAATGGCTCCAGAATTACGAAAAAAAATATCAATTTACTTAGTTAATCTATGTATATAAAAATGAATTGTTACAGAAGATATACCTGATATATTGCCAAAAAGGTAGAAAGAGCAATCGAGACTCAGATGGACAAAGCACCAGAACCAAAGAAGATCGCGTTTGACAAGGAAATATTGATACCTTCTCTCACCGTTCTTCTTATTAAGATAGTCTGATTTTTAACTTAGGGTCCAAGACAAAAGCCTACTAATTTTTAAAGGCCGGCATCGCACTCGCGAGCCTTCTGGCATTGAGAATATCCATGGGCGGTGGCATAACTTAACATTAGGAGCCAACTGCCCGTTTACTCCCTGTTCTATAAAAAATTATGTACTTAAATTTGATGTACCTGATAAATGGTGCTAATATTTCGTTTAAAAAAGCTTTGTGTACAGGAATTTTCAATCCGTTCTATAAAAAACTACAACTTCTATGTGATTGTGTTATTTACAATAATATTCTTAATAAATACACTAAGATATTAAAAGCTAATTTAATAAAACACACTATGAATCACGCTCGCTTATACAACGTGTTTTTCTGGGCTTATCACGTTCACACGTCATTTCCTCCGACCATTCAGTAATGGCAAAATGTAAAACGGGCAACACCGGATCATTATTTTAAGGTTATATACCTTTTTGGCGGGAATCGTCGAATTCCGTTCAGTACTACAGTTTATCTTTACTTGTATGATCACAGTTATATATAATCTGTCCTTTATATTACATATTCTGGGACTCATTTAAAATTTTGTCTACATAATAATACCAGTTTTTAAATGCTTTTGTGTTTTTTTTCATAGACTAAAACAAGATGCTTTTGTAGATTAAAGGGCAGTGTTGGGCTAGTGGCTTCAGCGTGCGACTCTCATACCTGAGGTCGTAGGTTCGATCCCCGGCTGTGCAACAATGGACTTTCTTTCTATGTGCGCTTTTAACATTTGCTCGAACGGTGAAGGAAAACATCGTGAGGAAACCGACATATCTTAGACCCAAAAAGTCGACGGCGTGTGTCAGGCACTGGAGGCTAATCACCTACTTGCCTATTAGATTTTAAAAAATGATCGTGAAACAGATTCAGAAATCTGAGGCCAAGACCTGAAGAGGTTGTAGCGCCACTGAGTTTTTTTTTTGAAGATGAAGCTTTAAATAATATTAGGTCCATACATATGAAATTGTTGTCGTACTTGCCACTTTGACCTCAAATATCTCCTCTTTGGTTAGGAATTCCAAATTCAATTTTTTACTCGTGAATTTGTTCTTTGAAAACCATGATTCGTTTAATTTTCCCGCTTATTTTTTTGCGTCACTCTATTAATAAACATGAAATATCGCGTTATTCAGAGATCCACTGTGGCACTAGTGGTGCAGAAACGGCTCGAAGGATTAATCATGTGTATGTCGGCGGTACACACTCTAGTGCTTAAATGGAAATGGGCAGGTCATATTGCTAGAGCGCGGGATAGAAGATGGACGCTGGAAATAACAGAATGAACTGGTCCTACTGGAAAGAGATGTGTAGGACGACAAAATAAAAGATGGACAGATGACATTATGGAACTACCGGGGAAAAACTGGATGAATGTCGCTCAAGACAGAGAGAAATGGAAAAATATGGAGGAGGCCGTACAAAAACTAGCCCACTAAAAATGAAAAAAAGAAATCTAATATATACATTTTTTTAAACTTATACCAACACAACTAATACTAATTTTAAGGAATGCACTAACCAATTGTTGTATGGATTAATAAAGGTTTAATAATAATAATAATTGCGGCGGTTCATAAAAGAAAACACTGCGGTTTTGGTTCCAACATTTTGAAGGCTATTATGGAAGCGGATCCATCGCAAACTACATGTGAGTTAGCTGCTACGATGTTGGTGATAAAACTGTATTAATCCACTTGCGAACTGGGAAGGTGAAAAGCTTGAAACCTTACGAATTGAGTGAAGCAAATCGACAAACGCGCATCGACGCTGTGTTGTACATTACTCAACTGGCACAATAATGAAGGGCTTGTAAATCAAATTATTACCTGATGAAAAGTGGATCCTGTACGATAATCGAAACGGTCACGCAATGGCTGAACCCGACTTAGAAATTGTTCATAATCTGTTAGTTCTATGAAAATATAACTTTTTTTTAATGACAACGCGTAATTAAAAAAAACTTGACTGTCAGTCATAAGATTGTAGTGATATTTAATATTATCTAGACACAGACTGCTAAAAGCCTGTATAATTAATTAGAGCGTAGACACTGGATTAGTGTTATTAATCCGTCACTCTAAACTCTAATTCGTCTAACGCGGCCATAATTCATGGCAACACAGGTGTGTGACGTCATATCCGAAATGTATTACCAGCATTAGTTTTGAATTAATATAACTCGACCAGGGTAAATTATGATACAAATAATAATCAAAACTGGCTTGTGCCCGGAGCTTCGCCGGAATGGATTTTAGGAAATTTACATAAAATTATGTATTCTGTTTAAACCCTCTAAGATCTATTTATTTAAAAAAAAGGGTGCGTGTACTTATGTACGCGCGTAAGAAGTTATACTTCTTTGGCATTATTAAAAATAGTTTTTGATTGCATGCAAATAATTAATTACAATTAAATAATCAAAGACTGGAAAAGGAGTCATTATAGTCAATAAAGTTCAGTTTACATTTGAAAAATTAAATAAATAAATAATTATTATTATTCTCTTACATTAAGTGTAACTTACATTCTATTATTATTCGAATGTTGTTTTTAAATTATGTCCAATGCCCATTAACCAACAGAATGAAGTTCCGTGGGCAACTTCATGCTGATAATTTTGTGTCACGGTGCGCGCGCATCGTAAAATTTCACTCTCATCAATTTTTCATAACGCGCCTAAAGAAGTATAAGTTCAAAAAAAAAGTATAAGTATAAAGTATAAGTATTATTAAAAAGAGTCCCTTTAGGCAAGGTTCCGAAGATGCAGCGTTCCCCCTTTGATTAGCTAGACTAATTCTTTGTCCGATGTAGCTGCCAGCTCTTCGGTCTCCTGAGTCGACTAACCTTTTTGATATTTCCTTAAAA